ATTACTTATTTTGTTCTTACTCTGGATCAGGTCTACCTTATTTTTCGATGTTTATTTGAAAAAAGGAGTCTATGGGTATAAGACATCAATAACCTCCTTATAGGTCATGTCTAACGGACCTGTCAAACAACAATGTTTTAACAATCATGACCAACCTGATGCCCCCCCAAGGCAGAAAACATCCAACAGGAGAACTAACAGAGAAATTCCCTCCGGATGACTGCAGTTGAATATCTAAAAACAGGAGGGTCAGATGGAAAGCTAGATTCCAAAACTTCTAAATCTAATGATGGTGATTTATCTGGAATTGATAGAATCCCATGAAGTCTGTAATTTATGGACCCGCTTATAACAAAAACTTGACCAAAGGATGATCAAGCCCTCTTTAATATTAAGGCCCTGTCCTCGCTCAAACAGGAAAGCGGCAAGGGCAAAGGATCCCATCAAGAGGGAAGAAACTTCCGGATCATTGTTTCTAACTATTCAAAACTCCAATAACAGGAAATCGGCAAAACAGTATGCCACTATACAATTCATGTTTTCAGGGCTCATTCTCACTCTATAATTACTTAAAAGAAATCCTTCTTTAGGAAATCATTGTATTGAGAGATTTTCAGAGGAACAATCTTGTTCCTTTTATGTTTTCCTTAAAAAAAGGTTAACTAATGGAATGAATAAGTGTTTATCCATTAATCAAGACTGTCTAAAGCGTATCTTTAGTTCTCCTTAGCCCCAAAACAAAAAAAGGTTACAGATCTCCCGTCCTATTGTATATTTAGCTACCGACCTTATTTCTCCACCCTAAGAAGAATTTCCTGAAAGAGAAAAGGAGGGTTACCAAATGACTACCCCCCAATCAGAAACGGGATTTTCGCCTTTATGTTGACTAGGATGACTGAGTATTCTCAGAAAGGGAAGGAATATTTTGACAGAAGAAATTACGTTAAAAAACACCAAAGGGGATAATACAAATAAAACCAACCCCCAACTTCCTCAACCAAACAACAAACAGCGATCACCTCCAATAGGAGTTAGGCTGGACTAGATGAAGCCAAAAAAAACCCAGAAAAAAATCTGATAAAATTCGTAAAAGCAAACCTAGATATAATATTTCTGAGGAAAAAGATAAGCCTAAGTCTCACGACCAACAAGTCGGTTTAATCATTTCTTCCAACCAAAACAAACTCTTTAACAGAAAAGGACCCACAACTCCTTGAGAGCCCTCTCCCTAAAGGATAACCCAATTAGAAAATCACTTTCTCAATCTATGAACGATAGACCACAAGAAAAATCAGCTCCAAACCTCTGGAAATAGTCTGATCAACTCTGAGCTATAAGGGATTTTCTCATGAATGGAATGTCTTAATCTCTATATACTCCAGGGGGTTTATTTTCTGTCTGTGTGAATCATTTTGGATAAAGCACGCCACATCAGAGAAAACGGGCAATCCAGAACGAGTGTTAATAGCCCACCCCTATATCATATTACTAACATAAACATCAACTCTAACAACAACCCAACTTAATTGAGCCCTGGTAAAAGCAGGTTACCAAAACCCCCTCAAAAGAGAAGACCCAATAGGTATGAGAAGGACCCACCACAACGGCTCCCTCCAGAAGTTATTATTTCTTGACCGAGTAAGCGTAAATTAAAATACAGATTTCATTTTCTCTGATTCTCTGGATAAGTCACCCTCGACAAATCTTTCCATCCCGAATGAATAAGTAACTCCTTTCAAGTAAATTCACTACAACCCAACCCCCCAATCAAATTAGAGATAATAATCATAAAAATTGTAAACACAGAGATTGTCTGCCAGGTTCCATTATCATCTACACAAACAAGAATTCCTTTAATTATAAGCAAAACCACTAAGAAGTAAAACCTACCCACCCAAAGACAAAGGAAGAACCTCCCCTAAATGAACCCCTTGAAAAACAACACCACACGCAAAATAACCAAGCCAAATCAGAATACAAATACAGCACGAACAGCTGAATCTAACGGGAACCGACAGCAGAACATCTCCTCCTCCTGAACAGAATAGATAGAAACTGACAGGTCTAGCAATGAACAGAAAACCGAACAATCAGAGAACTATATGACAAAAACCTGATTACGAACCTCAAAAAATCAGCTCACAAAAACAAGCAACAAACTCAGTGAACTTCTGAATTCCTTATCATAAAAGCTTCCCAAGCAAGAGCATGAGAGTGAGATTACAACAAAAAGACTACAAGGAGCCCCCCAATCAACACCAAGGATAACCCAGACACCCAAGCAAAGAAATTTAATGAAATCTACTAACCAGATCATAAGAAACTGTTTAGAATGAGTAAGGCCCCCCCCCTACCATCTCCTCCAATCTACAAGAAACAAAATGATAAATCTGAGTCAAACAGATCAGAAACTCAGAGCAGGGCAAAACGGCTCAATCAATACGAGGAGCCAAAAAAATCCCCCCTCCTTGCACTATGTCGACTACAACAATCCCACCGAATTAACCCCCCCAAGGAAGCCCAATCAGATAAGGCCTAAAAAAGCTGCCCTCCACGAACCTCCAGAACAAGTCAAACCTCCCACTAAAGATGACAAGTCTTTCTATAAATAGATTAACCCCCTAGACTCCCGTCACAAGGGCAAATACTGGCCAGTACTAAGTAATACGACCCCTGCGAGCCCCAACTCCAACAAATTTAAGAGGATGTCTCGACTGAAAACACCCCCTAAATCTAGTCCAGGCTAAAGGACAAATCAACCCAGAGGCAGACAAGGTAGGTTCTTAATCAACGGGAAATTAGGATAGAAGCGGCCACCACATCCCGCTCTGAATTCCAGGACACTCCGTCTGACCACTAGCAATCATATAGGACTCCAACCTCACCCATGCCTAGAGAACATCACTCAGGAGGTAAGAATCCATATAACGAAAGGTAAAGAAGGAATTTAGAAAATCAGGCCCAAGGCAACAACACTAATCCTCCCAAATAAATAACTAAAACCAATCCAGAGAAATAGCAGGGAAGAATCTACCTCACCCCCAAAGATTCACTCCAAGAAGACAAGCGCCCAAATGACAGTGAGCCATGGAATCTGCAATCAGGCCAAAGAATAATGAAATCTCTAAGATCCCTCAAGAAGCACAAGACGAGTCCAGGAGGCTCAATCATCTGTTAACAAGGCAGAGCAGAAAAGGCCCAAGTCGGATAACCCTCAGCAGCAGGATAATCCAGAACAGCTCGACAGAGCCAAACCCCAGTCCAACCAGAAAAGAAGCCGCCCAACCCCAGGAGCGACCACCACTATTCATCAGGCGACAGTCTGGATATAGGACTCCAAAGCCAGCCCTCCACTGCAGTTAAAAGGGAGGCGAAATAATCAATAGGGAGATCCCGTAGGACGTCAAAAAAGAGAGGAGTTAAAATATAGGTGCAGTTAACGAAGAAGATGACCCAGCCTGATCACAGGACATCAGGAATCCAGCCGTGACGTATCCAGCCCAGATAAACCTCAGGAAGGTAAGGAAATAGAGCCAACCATCGGGCAAGTAAAAGAAGGTACCAGCGACGCATCGAGTCGACCAACGAGTCACGAGCCGATGGAATAACCGAAGCCAGGCAGTGCAGAAAGATCTCAGTCCAGAAACCAGGTTCCTGACGCCACAAGCAGTTATAGACTCCTCACAAAGCGAAGAACCAAACACCCCCTCAACCCCGCCCAAAAGGAAGCTAGGGAGCGAAAACTCCGGACAAGTACACCGTGTCCCTTCACAGACCCAGTAAACGAGACTACAGGTCCCTGACCAGAAAAATCCGTCAGCCCAGCTCCTCCAAGAGAAAAAGACAGAGGCTGACACCAGACCCCGGGGCCAAGCCGCAGATCAGATAATATAGGATCCAGGGGCTCATATCGAAGAGTCGCTTCTAGTGACGCTATATTCCCTCCAAAGCAAGAGCAGAAGAGGATTAACCCGTATATCGAGGCCCCCTTGACAGTAGAGCAGTGGCCAGCTACATGGACTAAATAGCCAGGAGTAAGCTCTCAGCCCAGGAAAGAGAAGAGGGGAATGAATAAGAAAGGGACAAAGACAGGCCGAGACGACTACGGGCCCCCCAGGGGGGGTCCTACATCTGGAACGGGCGGAATGTATATAGGAGATTCCCAGTCGCAAGGAGAGACAGAAATAGATCAAGGAGCCAGGAAGAGTTAAAAAGGCTCTAGAGGAGTGGGTCCGGCTCTAGAACTGGTAAACACGAACATATCAGTCACCACCGACGTCAAACACCAGGGACATCTCCCGACTACCGCACCTCCCCAGGCGGAAAGGAGGATAGATCTCAACAACTCGATTATCAGGGTAGTAAGGAGGGAAGACCGAACACCAGCAACATTCAGCCTCGAACACCACCAGGCAGGACTCTGACAAATCTCAAAACAGCCCAAGGAATTTCCGGAGGAGTCCTCAAAGAAACAGGGATGAGCAACTGCAAGAAGAACAACAGAACTCCGGTAGGGAAAACGGATCCAGCGTATCGAGACATGTAGCCCACTGTCAACGGAGGAGGAGCTAGTGGCTTCCAAAGCACAAGAGTAGTAGAGAAGTGAGGTTCACACAGACTAGAGAAGTAGCGTATGAAGCAGCCGAGTTACGCATAGACCATCTCAGGCCAAGGCGGATGAAGAAATTAGGCACAAGTGGGAAGACCATTGGAAAGGAAAGTAGGGCTAGGAAAAATCGTACAGGGACGTTCGAGAAAGTAAAGGCTGATTTAGGAATAAGGCCAAATCTCGTCACGAACCGACAGGGGTGATTCCTGTAGGCGAAGGAGCCCTAACGTTTTTCAAAAAACTCTCATGACAACAGACAGCCGTGGAGAGTGGGGAAGTTGATCCTGGAAGTAGAGAGAGGAATCCCGGCGGGGGGCCGCACCCGCAGAGTTAGCAGAGGCATGTCAGGAATTGTAGATTCTACGAAGCAGGAGTAATTCAAGAGGGAAAACTAACAAAGCCCAACTGAGTCACTCAACTGCTGATAGCCTATGCCTCATTTAGGAGGGACCAACAAATTTCGTAACTCGCCACAGGAGCCAACAGGCTAATGAAGTCATGAGGACGCGGTGTTAGAAAAAAGAGGGGCATTGGATCACGAGCTAGAGATACACCAGGTACGAAGCGAGAAACCGAGCGAAGACGGTAAGAGGGGGAGGATCGCAGCTCAAAAGCAACTCCTCCAAGCTTTGGAAGGGTACAGCCAGGACAGCAGTTAACCACTCCGGGAGGCACCAGCTCCCAGGGACAAGACGATAAATAAGCGTCCGGAGGCTCAGTCGTAAGAGGAGGTTGTAGAGACGAGGACAATGCTTATAGAACGAGTTTAGCAGCGAAGGGGAAGTCCCGGGGGAGTAAAACTCCTTACCCGAGAGGAGAGAAGAGTGAATGAAGGGGAAGGACGTATCTGACGAAACTTGAGAGATGAGCGAAACTCAAAGAGGAGAGCATTAGTGGGAGAGACAGGGAGGATATCAGGAAGAGTACTCAAAATCTGGCCCGCTGCAGCGGCATGGGGGGTAATGAGAGGTAGCGTATAAATCCAAAGAACCCCGAGGACGAAAGGAAATCCTAAGGGATAATTCACCCCCCCCAGGCAGAAGAGGTTGAGAGCCTAGATCAGGCAGCGGGTAGACGTTGGAGGGATGAGTGAGGTCCAAGAAGGTCGGGGATGGTTTAGAACAAAATAAGGTCGAGCACGCAAGATTGACCCCAAGGCAGTATTAGAGAGAAGAGGAGGAAGGGTTGGTCCTGAGGAAGGGAGAAGGAAAAAACTGAACAGGAAGAAGGAAGAGTAAGATCAAAATCAAAGAAGGGGGAAATCAAGAGCCAAGTCCCCTAGAATGCAAGAGGCCAGTGGGTGATTGAGGCAGGAGGGTTTAGTCTAGAAGGGAACGCGTCAATCAAAACATACAGAACTACATCAGCGGCACCGGGATCCCTCAGGAATTAGAAGCACCATTCCCAGCCAGACAGACCACCGAGAAAGTAGGTGTTAGGAAAGAGGGCGGTTAAAAGTCCACTACCAGGAACGGAAGCACCTTCCGGCCGGATGGTCGGAGCGAAAGGATCCACTATGCGGCAGACTCTAACGTGGAAGGGGAAGAGGGAGGAAGTCGGGTCAGCCCCCTGCGACGCAAGGAGTCAAGGGGAGAAGAGGTTTTGTTTCCATCTAGCACCTGGCCCAAACGAGCATAACAGGCCAGCTCTAGGAATAGGAAGGTGGATCCAGGAACTGGTGGGGGAGCACAAAAGTTATAACCAACTAAGCAAGGGCTTTAGAGAAGGAAGCATAAAGACGAAGAATGGAAACCAGGAACTAACTTGGGAGGATCTTTTGAATAGTGTGATAAAAGAGTGTCTCAAGGCAACCAAAGATAAGAAAAATGATGGAACAGAAGATAAGTATCTGACGAGGGGAGAAAGAGGACTCTGGGCAGCATATATAAACGGCCAACACGTGCAGTGTAATAGCAGTAGCGACTGTCAACCACTGCTCTATTTGATTGGGTGCGTAATATACTGGCTCTGGGCAGATCAAGGTCAGCTAATAAACAACCAAGAAACGATATGGGCAGGATGTAACAGATTACGGAAGAGGCTAATAGGAGAAGAAATAGAGGGACGATTCAGATTGGAGAACAACTGGGCAGTGATAAAGAATTATGGAGGCTCCTGTGGAGCGGACGATAACTTCAAGAACTGTCAATTAGAGGCCCTGAGTCTGGTAATAGATGTCTTTGGAGCCCTTAGGAGCTTATGTCCCAGCTGTCCTTATCAAGGAATAAATAATTTCTTGACAGGAATGAGATCCCCAGGCCCAAAGCAGCGCCTATATTGCGAGCCCTGGGGACGAAGGCCCGACAGGTGTGTGATAGGACCAACCAAAGGAACGCAGGGGTTGACGTTACTCGATGGGGAAGAATTCCAGCAGCCTGAACTCGAGAACACTGAGGCAGCAGAGGCCCAGGGGGAAGGGGAGGGACGGCAGGGAATAGATGGGGCCGCCGGCGTCGGAGATTCAGGCAAAACCCCAGAACAGGACAAAGAACAAGCCTCTCATGCAACAGTTGAGACGGCTTTAGCCAATGGAAGCCAAGTGACGCAGCCAAATAAGAACGAGAAGCCGGAACAACAGGAGCCGGAGAATCTGGACGAAGAATCTAGAGCAACAACACAGGAGGGACTACCAGGACAAAGCGGGTCAACTTCAATTACCGGACAATCCCGGATGGAGAGTCTCCCGGCTAAACCCGCCTCACCAGGACAACACCTCACGCCATTCAAGGAGGAGGAAAGAAGCAGGAGTCTCCAGGGGGGAGGAGTTGCCTCGGGTCAGGAGAAGAAGGAGGAGAACAATGGAGACCATATGGGTGATAAGAGTAATAGCAGCGTGGCCGGCATCGTAGGGGGCAGTTTAGTGACAACGGTGATGTTACTGGCTTCAGGATATGGTTTGTATCGGATATATGGGAGAAGGAAAACAAGAAGAGGGCCCCAACTCCAAAGTAGGGCAGGAGGCCGAATCAGGTATCAATTTCAGGACTAAGGGAGTAGGCGTCTCAAACAGGAGGAAATGACTGAAGCATAGGTCATAAAGCCCCAAGGGTCTAGGGACAGATTTCAGTTAGGGATCACAGTGTAAAATAAGACAAGACGGGAAGCCAGGACAATAATAGGGGCCCGAGAATCTGGAACTCAGGACAAGGGTCCGATCCCCACCATCCCCACAATTGTCCGCGAAAAGCACGCCAGACCCTACAGGCAGTCGGAGGAAAAGTGAGAAGAGTAGAAAGGGAATCCCAACGAGCTGCCCGTCAAACCGACGAATCAACACCCTGGCAGCAGGTACGTGACAAGGGAATTCCAGCCCACAGTATTAGGAGGCCAAGGGAGCAAAGGAGGAGAATAATCACGGTGAAGTAGTAGACTGAGCAGGGAACAGTCGAAACCAGCCATCAACCTCCTCCAAACGGCCAGAAGTCCAATATCAGCAGAGGATCGTAGGCGACTACGGATCCTTCAGGAAGGGAGAGTTACATAATAACCAAAGAAGAACAAAAACCACATATCCAGGAAGGGGGAGCCTAAGAAGCAGTAAACATCGGACCCCCGCAAGGGATGCCGAAAAGTCCCCAGTTGAGACGACTTCACATACCACCGCAGGGGGAGCAGGGAGTAAAGAAGCGTAGGCCACGTGTTGACAGATACCGGTGGAGGATGACACATAAGGGAACGAGTTAATATCCCCCGGAAGCTTCGCCTTACAACGAATGAATCATATCTGTTGGCCCCGATCAAGCCCAGGATCCCGCCGGAAGGAACATGTTCGTAGTGCAGTGAGGGCTTTGGTGTAAGGACAGATGAGCGTGAATTTGCTGTGTCAGGGCCTTTTGTTTCACAAGCCTCGGGTCAATCTTTCCGATCAGGGATTGACAGATTAGAATTATTGCTTCAGGAGGCGGAAGTTGCCTGGGGACTTCGGGATCAGGGCAGTGAGGTCCTAACATTAGGGTTGGGGGTTTAGGTTTAGGGTTTCAGGGTTTAGGTTTGGGTTTAGGTTTAGGGTTTAGGGTTCATGGGTCCAGGGTTCAGGGTTTAGGGTTCCGGGTTCAGGATCTATGGTTCAGGTTTCCGGTTTAGGCTTTATGATCAGGTTCTAGCGTGCATGGCTCAGCTGGGATGATTTATTCTTAGGGTCTAAGGGTCAGGGATTGGTTTTTACTGTTGAGGTTCTATCTTTAGGTTTTACTGTCCAGCTTTAGTTTTCAGGGTTGAGGAGTTACGGTTCTCAGTTCCTGTGGCAGGCGTCATGATTTGATTTTAGTTTTGAAGGCTTAGTGTTTAGGGGTTAGTCTTATGGTCTAGTTTCCATGGTTTACGGTGTACTTTTGATGCCTTCGGGTCCAGGGACTTCTGGATATGTGTCAGGTTTTAGTCTATCATGATTAGTGGATTAGGCTCCAGGATTCCTGGTTTCATTTGGTGGCTTTGGGGCCTAGGCTCTAGAGGTTAGGGCTGTGTTTCTAGTGTTCAGTGAGTTGGGGCTTATTTTTCAGGGTCCAGTTGCTGTTTCTGGGTTCAGGTGCAGAGAAGATCCTTCGGGGGTTAGGGGTCAGGAGTTTTTCCTTGATCCTTGTCCTTACCGGGGATGGTTCAAGGCTATTTGGAGTGTTCATGGTTTATGTCACATGGAGGAATGCTTACATTTCATGGCTCACCCTCTGTCGTCGACGTTCAAGTTTCAGGTTTTACGGTGGTGTTTTATGCAGTGGTGGCTTTAGGTTTACGGATTAGGATTTTATGATCCAGTACCTTGAGCTTTCGGAGGTTAGGCTATATTTTTTATCTTTTTGGGTCTCTTTTGCCACAAGGTTGTTGGATCATGATTTAGGGAGATGTCATTCTGCTTCATGTTTTGCCTTTAGGATTTATTTTTCATTGTTCTGTTGCCTGGAATTGACGTGTATGGCTCACGGTTTATGGTCTACATGTTATAGATTCTGGGGTATGTGCTCCTTGATAACTCTGGTTTGATTGTCTGTTTTGTCTACGTGCTGGTCCTTATGCCTCATGATTTAGCTTCGTTCATTGGGGTTCTATTTTTCAGGGGATAGGCTGTTTTGGGGGGCCTTTATCATGTCGGTTCTCTTGATTAGCGATCATGAGTTTGATCTAGTGGGGTATCTGATTATTGGGGGGGTATGTCGTGTCTTCTTATTGTCTCGGTGTGAGCGGGGGCCACAGGTCTGTTTTGTTTACCTTTGATGCGTAAGTTTTAGTGCTCAATAGTGAGTGTGTTCAGTGTTCTACTCTTGGAGCTAGTTTTGAGATTTTTTCCTTTCCTTCTTTTCTTTTCTGGCACCTATCCTTCCTCTGATTCTTCATCCCCACGGGTGATAGGTATAGTATATTGCAAGGGGTTTTTCTTTGGGATTGGGGGTTATACTGTTGCTTCTATTTTGTCATTTCTCTAGCAAGGTCGGCTCTGGCTTCAGTAATTCCTTTTATCCAGCTGAGTTCATACTTTTAGCCCTTATTTTTCACGCTCCAGGTGCCTCTGTATAAGTCCTCTCTTTTTGAGTTCTGTTTAGGATTCTAGTCTATTATTTTCATGGTGCAAAGCCTAATCTCTTTGTTCCACGGTGTTGCATTTATGGGGTATTTTGCCTGCTGGAGGATTGGAGTTAGCTGTATTACTTTCCCTGGCTAGCCATAACTACTCAGCCGTCAAGGGATAATTTCTATCTGGTTGAGTTCCTTGGTCACGGTTTTGGGATTGGCGCTTTTTGTGCCAGTGGCTGTTTTATATCCTTCGTTTTTTTTTAAGTTGGCCCTTTAGGTTCTGGAGTTGGCTTT